CGCGGTGAATCGCTTAATTTGATCCGATAATTGCGACATCGATATGCTACAAGATATTCGTTCCTCTAGGACAATAAATAAATAAGTCCATTCAATTTTTTTCTTTTTTTCATTCTTATTGATTTTGTTTGAATATTCTTATTCAACAATATGTGCATGAGGAAGGTAGAAGGAAGAATTATGATGTGAGTATAGGTCTTAGAGACTTCTCTTCACCAAAATCCACACTCATCCTAGGTTAAGTATAACTATAATATTTCTTTCATAGTTCTTGAAGATTATGTCATTTTTTTATCTCTCTTGAGACTGTTTTTCATTCTTCTTTAGATTCTTTTGTGAAACACGATCTGAAAGGAGTGATGAAGTGTTTAGGAGTAGAAATTTGTACCCACGCTTCATAGACCGTGACAGATGAATTTACTAACTAATTAAATAATAGGGTAATTAATTAATTAATAATTAATATTTCGTTAGAAAATCGCTGAAGACCCATCACAGATCGTGACAGAGAAACTGTAGTTCTAAAGCATCAGATAAACGGTTAGCTACAAATGTATCGCAAAGAAATGGAACAAAACAATTTCCATTTAATTAGTAACAATAGATCCATCGTGTTTCACATTTTTAATCCCGCAAGGAATTGCGCTAACAACATTGTTTTTGTACAATCGACAAAATTCAAAAAAAATGATGGAAATAAATTGATTTGTCGACTATTGCTGGTGATTATTTTGATGAGAATCACGTAGTATTTGTTTTATTTTGGTTCTAATACATTAATAATCTCCTGAACATCGGCGGAGAGCACTTCTCCTTTTAATGCTAAATCAATAATTTCATCAAAATCATGAGCGTCAAACAGTTTTTGGACCGGTTTTAACAACTCATCAGGACGATCATTCATATGTTTAATGTTGCTTTCCAAAGTGGAAATCTTAAAAATAAGAAATAAGTTACACTAAAATACAATCTATTCGATTACTGAAGGATTTAATTAATGACTAGGATCTTGATTAGATGCCATATATTCCTCTAATTTTTTTAAATTTTTTTTCAATAAATCAGCACGAATAACAAGTTCTATACTTTCTTATTTACTATTTTATGTGGGTATTTGTCGTTTTATTTCGTTCGCTTCTCACTATTGCTATTTTTTCTTTTCTTCTATTATGATATATTACATGTAAAAAACACTTAGTGATTTTACTTCGTGATGTGCTTGATTCTTATTGTTAATTAAAAATTATTTTTATTCGTAAAGTTAAATCATTTGACAATGACTAAATTCTCTTCTATTTAATTTAATATTAATAACGTAAAAGTGACAAGACAACAGTGAACTTTTGTATCGTTATTAGGTACTTCGTCAGGCGTAAATACATAAAAGTAAATGATGTAACATACATAGACGTGAAAGTAACAAACTGAACAAAATAAAAACAAATAAATTAGACTATTTTCAATTAAATTTTGACCGTGACGCGGTGAAGGATTAAATCCTTACCTAGTCATTATTGCCATCTTATTTTTCGTATAACTACCAAAAATCGACTGAAAATCATCTAATTTGTTTGTTTTTATGTTATTGTGTTTTTTTTCTTTTACGTTTATGTATGTTAATTCATTTACCTGTATGTTTATGTCTGACGAAATATCTTATCATAATAAGAAACGTCACCAGTTTTTGTTAAATTCATGTTATTAGTATTAATTTAAATAAAAGAAGAGAATTCAGTTATGTCAAATATCAATTTAACCTTCTTATCAGGACAAGAGAGTTAAATGAATTTCAAATGATAATAAATTTTATTTCATTATTTGCACATAAAAAATCATGTTGATAAGATCTTGAACTCAAATTGATAATTTTGAATAAATATCTAAATTAGCACTTTAAAGTAATTTTTGCATTTTATCATTATCCCCATGTTGTTCATAATCAATTTCAGAGGAATAATATTTATTTGGTAACTTACTTCGGCAAGTAGAGTACATTGCTGCAATTTATTTCACGAATCAAGGTGCAGCAAAGTACCGATGCAATGTAAAAAATAAATGCGGAAACTTCGGATTTAAATCCGAGAGTTATGTGTACTTCAAAAAGTGAATCATACAAATCAATCATCCTAGACTGTCTGAATATCAAAATTATACTGTGAAATCTACCATTTAAAATGTTGATTTCTATTGCGCGTTGCCAAACCAATAGGACATGGGCCAAATACAGCTCAAGTTTGAACTCTTTCCCTTGATTTACCCTAAGAAAGTCGTTTTTCCTATAACTTCATTTCTATTGGTCACTGCGCAACTAATAGTATTTCGATGGAAGTGCAGTACACATTCGAGTTCTCCATATCTGAAAACCTCGAAGTATCATCAGTGTGGCCGGAAGATAAAGCTCTATTTGTGGATCAATTAGATCGTGGACCAAAATATAACCTGGTTCTCTTTAATTGTCCTTGTCATTGGTAAGTCAACCTTCTTGTTTCTTTATGTTTTATATATCATTTTGTAGTTCTTGAAATTCCCTATCGAATGGTATATAATAGTTGGGATTTTAATTGACTATGATAGGAAAAGTCTTTTACGAAAGTCGCGATGGGTCCATTCTTCCACAGAAAGCTATAGGGAAAAATGGGTATTTTTGTAATAACTCAGGAATGGCTCGGCCGATCCTTCTCATCTTCGAACTCGATCGAGACATTGTCAAGACTAAGCTGTGTAGAAAGTTTCATCGCAATCTGACTCTGCTGTCAAAAGTTATCATGTAAACAGCCAACCGGACGGACGGACACACTGACTATTCTATAGTGTATTCACTTTTTGAGTACACAAAACTATGATTCAGTTCAAAACTAATATCAGATTCAGAATCAGCGTTAAAAACTGAGTCGATTTACGTATTTTGTGAATAAGTATGAGCAAAAAAAGTTTTTTTCGAAAAATTCCCGTACCCCCCCTCAGGGATGGTCTGGTCAAAAATCACAATTTTTTCGATAACTCAGCCATTTCTTAGCGGATCCTTCTCATCTTCGAACTCGACCGAGATATTGTCAAGACTACGCTGTGTAGAAAATTTCATCGTAATCTGACTCTCCTTTCGAAAGTTATCGTGTTAACGGCCGGACGGACGGACGGACGGACGGACATACTGACCGATTCTAGAGTGTACTCACTTTTTGAGTACACAAAAATCCTTTCTTTGACCCAAAAAATGGAGTTCAAAATTTTCAAAATCTGACTTCAAATTCAGATTCCTCGACCCCGACTTACTTTCGCCAACCTTTATGAAATATCGCTATTTTCTCAAAAAACTCTTTCCTTGGCCCAAAAGTTTGAGCTCAAATTTTTAATGCTTTATACACCATTTTGTAGCTCGTGAAATTCTCTATCGAATGGTATATAATAGTTGCGGTTTTATTTGACTATGATAGGAAAAGTTTTTTACGAAAGCGGGGATGGGTCGATTTTCGCATAGGAAGCCACAGGAAAAAATGAGTATTTTTGCAATAACTCAAGAATGGTTCAGCCAATTCTTCCCATCTTCGAACTCGACCGAGACATTGTTAAGACTGAACTGTGTAGAAAATTTCATCGCGATTGGACTCTCCTTTCAAAAGTTATCGTGTTAACGGCCGGACGGCCGGCCGGACGGACGGCCATACTGACCGATTCTAGAGTGTACTCACTTTTTGAGTACACAAAAAGTATCTAGAAAAAAGAAATTGTAATTTCTGTTTCACGCTCTAGACCTTTCTATTAAAATAAATAACGATGAAAAGCAAGAATGTAAATTATTAATAAATCACATGATTTACAAACAAAATAAATGAGAAATAAGGAACAACTGTACACAAAGCTATTCATCATTGATCAGCAAAAGACATGTACAATAGAGAAACTAAGGTCAAACAAAAGATAATTCACCCAGTGGTTACTGCTCTTATTTGATGTTTCTTTTTGTAGGCCTTGAGATAATACGATTGATTGAATTAAAAATCTGTCTAATAATGTTCGTCCGGATTATCTGAATGACTTGTTTTTATTATTATCTGAAATAGCAGTAAAAACAAGCAAATAATATAATGGATCAAAAAGATTGAATTAAAAAGAGTGAACAATCAATCAAGTCTAATAACAAAACAAAGTGCAAATCAGAAACTACACGTAATTGATACACTTAGCTTTCACGTGGTGTGCACGCGTCATTCGAAATACTGTTTCCCATAATCTTTGATGGACAATCATTTTTTATTTCATTTAAAAATTCTTCTGAGACAATATAGATATTTAATGATTGAGTTTCTTGAAGGTTTTCAATTATTTTTTGACTTTCATCCTTTTATTAATAAATCGAAATCAAATTAAAGAATTCGAATGACAAAATATGTTTAAAATTAATATAAGATCTAAAAAATTACCATGTTTTTTTCATTACCATTAGACAAGAAATGGTGACAAAGCGAAAGATTTCCATTTCCTATGTCTCAACAGCAGTTGCACCAATAGATTAAATCTAGTAAGAGAATACTATTTTAATTCTAAAGTTTTATTTCATAGATTTTATGTAGATTATTTCTCTTTTACATGCTGCAACTAATATTTTATTGACTAGGAGATGAAGAGAGTAATGCATTTGTCGGAGATCGATTTCACACACTCATTCATAGTCGATTCATGGAGAACTATATATTCGCTTCCTCAGTGTTTCAAACTAACTCTTCAAACAACAAGCTCATCGTTGGTTCTTTGTTGATAATGGTTTTTAGAAAATTGTCTAAAATCTACTTTGCTAAAGAATCAACGCGTCACAAATTGATACAATCAAAGAAAGAACAGTAAGTTTTTTTCATAAATGCAAATCAGATGAAATAGTTTTTTCTTAAAATTGAAATTATATTCTAATGTAACATGAGTTCAAAAACCCAAAAATTATTCGTAAACAAATCTTAAAACATGCAATATTTTTGTAATAATAACTTGTTTTTCTATGATTCTTGTTAAAACTCAATCACATTTTTTGTATATGTATGATTTACTAAATAAAATGAAAGTCGAAATACCTCGATAAGATATCTAGCATTTGCAAAAGCATCATATTCTGTTTTAATACCACCCGGTATATTAATCATCTTTCTTGTTGATGCTGTTATTGAATAAGAACGTTTAGTCCAGTCTGTAATATCACCTGTACCACGATAATATATACAACTAAAATGAATAATAATAAAAAAAATGTTTTAAAAACAAGATATCCTTTAGCTATACGAGAGTCTACGAGACCACCACCCAGATCAGTTGTCAAAAAGTTTTAGTTTTCAAAATAAGTTAGCTAATTCGAAAGAGCATAAAAAAGTAGTCAGTCTCAAATTTGTATTAATTTTGAGCAAAATCTTTTAATACTTCGACGGGTGTGAGTGTGGATGTGGGTGGGTGTGGTTGTGTCGGTTTTAGGAAAAACCACACCCACACCCACACCCATATTTAAATTTATTGATTTATTAAAATTTCAAAAACAACTAAAAAGATTTTGTTTTGTAATTCTGATAGAGCATTAGATGGGGTATCTTTTGAAAAGAAAACCGGCCTTCTATTATGTCCCTGAACGGAGATACATGCAAAACAAAAAATGTCACAAAACTTTTGGCTCACTCAGTAATACTTATTCTGTCATATAAGGAGTGTTGTGAGAATTTTCTATGAAATTGAACAAATGTTTGACGACTTCGATCTTCTTGTCTTGATAAAAAAAAGTCAAACAAAAAGTATTGACATGCGATGAGAGTGAAAAATAGTTAATATGTGTTTCGTATGAAGTTTTTTGCAATTCTCTTTTTTAAATACATAGAAAATAGATGATCCATTTTTTTCGAAAGGTTGTCATGCGTTTAAGTCAGATCCTGTCTTCTTTGTAGTATATGTGGTCAACATTCTTTCTTTGAGTAATTTGTAAACATTCGAAATTAAATGATTTTGTCGATCGTTATTGTTTACTTTAAAGATCGTTACGGTTATCGTTTCACAGAACCACTTTGGGGTCACATTTTATAATTGTACTTTTATCATTAAAATATTTTCTTCACTATATACAAGTAATGTCAACAAAAACGATTATCTTCATCCTCTGGTGAAATTAAAAAACAATACATCCAAACCAATCAAAAGTTGAGCTTCAAACGAAATCAAAGAGAACATACATGGATGTTTGATCAAACAGCAGCTGAAAGAAAACGATTCGGTGTTACAGATCAGTACAAAAACCAATTTTCAGTAGTTGATATAGAAATAGAATTATGTTAGTCTTTTCTTCGACATTGATTACCATTACTAAGAGGATTTTTTTCAACTCCATTCCAAAACTTGCTACTAGAAAGAAATATATTGCGAAGTGTTTACCTATAAATCGAAAAGTGTTATAAACTTTGGAACTTTGATGGGTTGAGAAAACTTCACAAGTTTTTTTTTTTGATTCTTAATTAGAATCTCTTTATAGCAATTACCGCTAGAAGGGTGTGCGGGTGTGCATGTGATAATCGATGTAATTCGATTGGTTAAATGAAGAATCACATCTAAAATCCATACTCACACCCTCATCATACATAAACCTTAAAGAGTATCGTCGATTCATACCATACCTTGAAAAAGAATTTCGAGAATTGAAACGAATAAAATATTTTCTGTTTTTTTTTACAGAGCAGGGCGAATTATTGATTCTTTTCTGTGCAAATTTCTTATGTAAAGTTTATTGATTATTATATATAAAATTTTACAATAACGCTTCGATTCTTTTATAATCTGCTTTCATAGTAAGGATGCCTTTCCAGAAAATCGACAATAGCGTTGGCTGTTTCTTCAGGTTTGTCGGTGGTGATGAGATGACCGCAATCATCGAATATTACCAATTCTGATTTGGATAACAACTTCGCCAAATAATGAGCACCTGCTGGATGGCATAACTAAAACAACATAATCTAGAAGTTTCGCGTTGATGAAACATAACTGCTTTACAAACGTGTTTTGCATAAAAATGTTCGTTTTCGAGATTTTATTTTATATGCTAGATCGTTGAAAAATATCTAACTCAAACTTCAGTATGAATAAAATTACCTGATCTTCGCGACCCCAAATGACGAGCGCTGGGCATGTGAGATATTTTAATTGTTTATAGGTTTGTCCAAGAGTTGGATAGTCATGTTCAAAGGCAACTTGAAGGACTAAAGATCAAAAAGAAATAAATCTCCTATGTCTATCATAATCGATTTATGTACTTCTTTTGTGTTGATCCAACGTGCGCAAATGTCTTTTAAAGTATTTTTTAGACAATGCTCGAGCTAAATGAATTTTTTTCTTTGATAATGATTCTATGGCAGCATGAAACTGTTCGAGCGTTTCAGGTAAAATTGAATGATATGTTCCCAAACGCAATTGTTGCAGCATATCAGTTTCATACTCTTCACCGGCTATCATAGATCGAGAAACAATATACTTCAATGATGAACTTATTCAGACATACGAGGAGGAGAAAGCAAACAAACCATGCCTACATTGGATGGATATTTTGTAGCAAACATTGCAACAATCGCGCCACCCATCGATCCACCAATAAGACATATGGGTTCGATGAAATTCAATTTGTCAAAAAACTAATGAATCCACAAGTAAATACACACACAATGTAGAGCAGAAAATGGACTCGATAAAGATCGTTCAATACCTGTTTAAGTAGATCTATAACATTCGCAGCGATATAATATTCTTCATTAAAACCGACGCTTTCGCCATGACCAGGCAAATCAATGGCAATACAATGATACTTATCTGGAATATGCTGAGTATAAACGAAGATTTTTATCTATATCAAGTAATTAGTTATTGACAAACTTTGATCACAGGTAGCCAAGTCTGTTTATTAGACGAAAATCCATGTATGAATATTAAACTCGGCTGTCCTGCTACTTCAACACCTTTTTCGCAGTAACATAGTTTTGTGTGCTCGTCATCATTCATTGTTACAAAATGCTTTTTAACACCAGCTCGATGCATACTGATCCTACGAAATAGATCAATTGTATCGAAAAGTGTAGAATATTTCTTACTTAGTGTAGATTTCAATAGTCCAACCTGGCCTAAACAAAATATTCAATGACAGTCATATTGAATCGAGAGTATGTGCCGTAACTTACATGGTAGTACGGGTATGAAACGATCAAAAAAATTCGAAATAATGCCGATTTGTTTGCACACTTGAATCTGTCGAAATACACAACAATAACGATGTTAAGATTTGATGTAGAAACAGTCACGTGCTATCAACAAATATTCAACGTATGTTGATAGTGAGACGCATGTTCTATTATGATTATAATATAATAATATGGAGAGATAAACGTCATACACCATTTGCTCCATAGAAGGATCGAACGAAAAGTACAAAAACGAATGACGCTCATATCATTTTAAAATAGCAGAAAATATTAGTCAAATCTTAGATAGATTGAAACTTCCACTCAATCGAACAGAAATTTCGATGAAGTATGAATTTGATTGCCACTTTTATATTGTTACACGTAATTAGTTACAAATTCTCATCCGACGAATACGAAACATAAACGAAAATTGAGGTAGACAAATAAAACATAGTTTTGAGAGTGAGGATGATGCTATACTTTTCACTCTTATGAACAGTTTTACATTGAAATAGATAATATCTTGAAGCTCTTGAACAATGTTAAAGATGAAAAACTTTTTTCGAGAAAATTTTCTGTTCATCCATAAGAAATGATTAAGAAGAAAGAGAAAGATCAATTCAGTTGTTAGTCAGTCGATTGATCATGGTTGATTATTGTTTACATGGGAAAAGGATAGAATTGACTAGGTGAAATTACTAAAAATTGTCAATATTGATCAGAAAAAATTAAATTTAATTCATCAGAGTGAAAAAGCAACATGGATTAGAAATAAACAAATGATTTCATTTATTCAGATCAATAGAAAATGTAATTCGAAGAAAATACCCTCATCGATATTCATTCTATCGATCATCTGATTTATTTGAACTTACTCGATGGAACTACGTTGAACAATTCTTATAATTGATACATTTCTTATCCTGAAACAAAAAGGATTTGTAGAAGAAAAATCTAATTACATAAATAGGTCTTAAGAAAGAGTTTCCTTACTTAATATGATCAGCTTGTTCCACTAAATCGAAGAACTTTTGAGTTCTCTCCTATGAGTTTTCAATCGAAAGAATAATTAATGAATTATTCTCTTTTTATCTCTCCGATTCGTTTCTCTTGATGAATCAAGGTTTTTTGTTTGAAATTCTATTGAAGAACAGTGTTCATCATACATGATCACAATTCTAATCGAAAATGTTAAACAAGTTTCTTTTCTAAAGTAAATAATCATTTTCTAATCCAAAGAAATGATTTTTTATTGACTGATTAACCTTCTCCAACGAAACATACTACTAAGAAGAATTTTCCTTCATGTCAATACTCTATTTCGAAGATTAAAGATATCTTTCACATAGATAAAATCGATTCTATTCAGAAAAAAATAGAAAATTGTCGTAATCGGCTTCTTTCTTTGTTATTTTAACTTAAGAAACTTGAAAAAAATTTTAAAAAAGCATCCATCAATAAAGAATGTGATTCTTTTCTCCTCACGCTGATTCTTTTTTTTATCTACAAATTCATTTGCTCAAATTTGATAGATTGAAACAGTAACGGACAAACAAAGCGAGAAAAATGAAGACATTTTAGAAGGTGTATGCGAAGGATATTATCTAGAGCTAAGCGATGATTGACTCTGTTGAAAGATTTTCTCGATGAGAAAAGAAAAGAAAGTCATTTCCTTTTCTCTATGTATTAATATCTAAGTCGTCGGAAATAATTATTTTGTTTATCATAAGAAGCTATCAGTGAAGAGAAGAGATGTTGATTTCTATTCTTTGATTGAGATATAGATTAGACAGTTTGAAAAAACAAAGACAGAAAGAAATCTTCAGTGAGAAGAGTACTATTGCTTATCATCATCATCATCGCAATTCTGTTTAGTCTTAGCTTTAATTGATATAACAACAAATAATTGGTATCAAAGTTGAACCAATGAATATCATCAAGTTTTGTACTTGATTTGTTATCTTCAATCAAAAATCAGTCATTTTTCATGTCAGAAACAATCATTGTTCAAATCTCAATTCTTTTATCATTCGTATTCGTTTTTCTCATTTCTTAAACGACACCAAAACAAAGATCAACATTTTAATTCTTTGCTATTTTTTTTGTGTTGCTATTTTATACCCTTATTTCTTATATCTCCGACGTATACATTTCAGATAACTTTCTCTTACCATTTATTTCATCTAATTCATTCACGTTTCTCAACAAATAACGTAGAATATTTGTTGTAAATGTGCCTGTGCGTGGAAGTGAGTGTTTTTGAAAAAGTAAATTCATAACCGTACCATAGTACAGTGTTTCTTACAACTTCGCAGCATCGTTGGGTCAGTAATATCAAGCTAAAATTGTCTTACAGAATCTTCAATAACTTGGAATGTTCAAAATTTAACGTGAAACGATTGGACAAGGTACCAATTGTATTCGTAAATTTGTCTCAAATGAACGCATTGAGTATTTAACAAATAATTCTTCATTAGTTGCGCCATATTGACTGCTGGTCTCCATAAGTGACAGCGTGTTTCACCTAGACCTCAATCACACATCTATATAACAAAATTTATTCTATTGCTATCGATTTAATTGCAACTCTGACTTTTGTTGCTTCATTGAGAATGATTTCGGTTGCATTTGTAGTCTTTAAAAAAATATCAAGGTTACTTAGCTTTTCTAATACCGTAATTATCAAAAGTATTTTATATTACACTGGTTGCATTCCAGTTCCACTTCACGTATTCTAGGAACACGTAATTTCTCCTTGATTAAAATACTGCTATCAAATCTAATATAACTGGCAATTTTCTTTTGAACTTGCATTGTAAAAGCATACTCTGCACAAGAATCAGTTAATTAGAAAATATTTAAGTATCGATTTTTTTCATCTTCCATAAAGAGAACGACAACTGGAATTAGACTTTCTAGTTTATATCACGTATTCGTTCTAATACTTGTACATCTAGTCGCTGTCGATATATCGATAAAGATATTTTGGTTACACCAAAGTGTTTCAAATAATTTCATGTTTCCTATCTGATGAGACTCGGTTGTTCAAACATACACGTAAAAGGTAACTGATCTTACAATCATCAAGTGTGAGTGTGACTGTCCAGTATAGGGTGTGGATGGTTCGGTCAACTTGAAGAGAAGTCTGACACCCACACCCACCCCCACCCTAAATACATCAAGACAAAAGAAAAGTCTTCTAATATGACATAGTACCTAGCTACTTCATATATTACATGAATAATCAATCGATATAACTTTATAAACAACGTTCGTTGAATGTTTATAAACACTCATTTTTGAAAATATATAATAGGTTAGAAAGTTTGTTCAGCACAGCAATATCGATTTTTCCATCTTGGTTGAAATCATAACCTACTGCAGGACCTGGACTCCTACTTGTTCCATACCGTTTTCGGTTCGGAAATGTCATATTTCCATCACCAAACAGTACATCCATATGATTCGAAAGTCGACCGAGCACTGCTATATCCGTCTTGTTGTCATTATTAAAATCGCCTGATATTACATGACTTGGTTCCCTATCAACGTTGTATTTTATTTGAGCTTGAAAATCTCCATTTCCCAAGCCAAATAAAATACTAATCGTATGATCACCTAGATTAGCCACTACAAGATCTATGATCTGGTCACGATTTAAATCAACTGATATCATAAAAGTAGGGCTAGCACCACACTTAAATGTCTTATTAGTCTGGAAAGTACCATTGTCATATCCCAATAGAACAATAATATTGTGAGTGCCTAAGTTGGTGACTGCTAGATCTGGTTTGTTATCATTGTTGAAATCACCTACAACTACAGAACTCGGTCGACTAGCAGTCGCGAACTTTGTTCCATTTTGAAAGGTTCCATCTCCATTACCCAACAGCACCGTAATGGTGTCGTTGTGCTGATTGACAAGAACCAGATCTAACATCGTGTCATTATTCAAATCATGGACTACTACGAAGTTCGGTGGAGAATGAATCTTATATACTATTTCATATTCGAAGGTACCATATCCATTACCAAGAAGTAGAGTAATACTATGATCGATTGTGTTAGTCAATATCAGATCTAATTTGGTATCATTATTGAAATCACCCGTTGCCATCGAATCGGCTATCTTCTCAAGCCTATACGGCATTCGACCACGACAGGTTCCATCTCCATTACCTAGTAGCAATGAGACACTATTATCTCCCTTATTGACCACCAACACATCGATTATCGTATCGTTATTATAATCAGCTGAAGTTATTGCTACCGGATTCGCACCAGTAGCATATTTAATTTGATTTTGAAATGTTCCATCAACACCGTTAATCAACATACTGAACGTGTGTTCTCCAGAATTTGCTACTACCAGATCTATTCTACCATCGTCGTTAAAATCATCTGCTCTCATAGCATTTGGAGAATTACCAACATTATATTTTACAGGTCTCTGAAAGCTTCCATCACCATTTCCATATAACACACCGATGGAAGATTCATTCGAAAACGTTAATGCTAAATCCATCTGCCTATCATTATTGAAATCAGCCACCACTACAGCACTTGGATTCATGCCAATTTCGTAAACAATTTGAGCTTGAAACGATCCATCCCCATTACCAAGTAACACACTAACACTATTATTTCCATAATTTACTACTACCAAATCTACTTTACCATCTTTATTGAAATCTTCACATGTCATAGAGACTGGTATTGCACCAACACTATAAGTCTGTAGATCTTCAAAAGTTCCATTTCCATAACCAATTGCCACACTGACAGTGTTATCATCTTGATTGATAACTGCCCAATCCAATTTTGCATCCTGATTAAAATCATCTGATATGACATAGACAGGTTTGGAACCAACGTCAAAAGCAATTTGAATATCAGAAAATGTACCTTCTTCATCACCCAATACCAAGCTAACTGTATCATCGTCAGAGTTCACTACTAATATATCTATGAGTGTATCATTGTTGAAATTACCTCCAGTCACTGACACTGGATTGTCACCGACTAAATATTCAATTGAGGTTTGAAATGTTTCGTCGTCATTATCCAGCAGAACACTAATGCTGTCATCATCTCCATTCACTACTATAATATCCATGAGTCCATCATAGTTTAGATCAACATTAAATACAGAATTTGGTGCAGCATCTGTCTGATAATAGTATTCAGTCTCATAATCATTTCTCTCATTACCAAGAAGTATATCAACACTTCGATCATCATAGTTGAGCACTGCCAAATCTACGCGTTTGACATTCGTGAAATCCCCAAATACTATAGCAACTGGTAATTTTCCAGTTTCAGAGACCATTGGTGATGGATATGGATCACTGCATTGATATACTAAAACAACAAGATTCAAATTTATTGACAGTTTTTATTCTTGTTTTCGCGTGCTGTTGAATTTAACATGAGACAATTCAGCTGTTGAACAATATGATAACATGAAAGTAGGAATCGATATGGACAATATATCATCTAGCTGGGATCTTATTCTAGGGAATTATTTTCCAGTTCACTTATTTGGAATGTACTTGGGAAAAAATGGCACCAGCTCGGGGAGAGTAAGTAGGAAGAGATAGTTTTTTCTAGTAATCTGCGTCGACATTCGTTCTGAAGATACTTGAATCCATAGATGTAGGCAACGATGTTACAAGAATTAGTATGCTTGATTAACGCTATCATTCTTCACATAAACTTGAACTTTGAATTTTTTCAGAAGGCAAAAGTGATCTGTTACGTTCTTTTGTTTAAAACGCATTCGAAATTCTTACTATTGTTATAACAACCATCTCAATAACCCCACATCCACCGGCTGGGATTAGTGTTAATGCCTACTTAGCTTGATTGTGATAGTCCTAGATGCGTGATCAATGTCCTTGATTCAATTATTCAGAGATTCACTGTCTGCTATGACTTCAGAGGATTAGGAGCTCAGAATGAAGTAGTAGACGTTATACATGAAGCTTTTCATAGAGGATGTGACGGAAATACTCTTTTTCCAGGATACTGATATGAAGAACGTAGAAACGCACTTCAGTAAAAAATGAAAGCTTTCATGATAACAGGGTTGTTGACAGAAATTGAGACAAGAAAAAGAAGTTAATATGATTCAGGCAATAGAAGATTTTCGTATACATTTTGAACTCGAAATGTTGAATGTGATTTACACCCTCTTATACGTTTATCACTTATACAATACAACTGATAGTTTTTGAATTCGACACGAAAATTGTTTTTCATGTGTTTATTAGTAATTATTAGAACTTCTTTAGAGCTTGTCGAGGCGAACTTTTGGGTGAATTGAACACAAGTTCAATCGAGTTATAGGTGTGTCGTCGAGTATCTATCAACGCACGCTCAATGAGCCTGATATAAGGTAAAGTATGGGGAAATTGTTTTAAATGTAAATGAAAGCAACATTAAAGAGAAAGCATACTTGGGATGTTGGCTTGTTTTCGTGATCCAAGAACAGAACCAATAATGATTGCTCCGATACATAGAATTATAAATAAAGACAGAGGCACGAAGAATCGCTTCTTTTTATACCAGGAACGTCTGCAAATTACCACCAGAAGTGTTCATATCGAAAACATCTGTAGGTAAAAACAAAATGAAACTCACTTCGATTCTGGATATAGATGTGCACCTAAAAAGATAAAGTCTGATATGCAGAATGCAGAACTGATATCTTGCTAATTACCTTCGAATGGAGGCTCAAGCAAGGTTTCTTCCGGTATGACTTGTTTCAGGTGAATGATATAGAGATCAGGAGCTGGGCTCAATTGTGATTGAACTATCATATGAGTACCAGGTAGAAGAAGAATCTCTTCTTCTGTAACGAAATGTGAATGGGCACTTATTGTTCGTCCATTAATGGCTTCAACAGAAAATAGAGTTCTTGCTCCTGTAGTGCCCAAATACATGTTATTTTCCAAGACAGTCAGTGATATTGTACATGAAGAAAATGACCACCATGTTACTGGGGTACCAGGTGGAAAATCTGCGCTCAAATCTTTTGTAACTCCTCGCCAAACAGTCAACGGTGGGACACACGGAATTTTGACCAGTGCAGTCAAGAATAACTTTAGATATTTAAAATAAGGCCGAAGCTCTTCGCGATTACCGCCTTTCAAAGTGTAATTGAGCATTGAATACAGGCTTCGATGTGGTCTTTCCCATTCGATCGTGTATAGACGAACCGCAGCGCTCTCATCAATTGTCAACCCATCAGGTGGATTTTCGGGAGTTTCATCTAGTGCCAGTTGCACATAGAACGATAAGTTATGAAGAATATCGGCCAATGGAGCACATACTTCAGAAAGTGGTAACAAAGGCTCCTCAGCATACCCAATAATCGGAGAAAAATTTGTGTCAACCTTGTTCAGTTCATTGAGAGCTTGTTGAATTTCGTCTAAGACGATGCCTCCTAAAACTTGAAGTCTTCTACTCATTTGTTGATCAGTTGCAACATGATCATCCTCCATTACTTCTACTCTTTGTCTTTGATTGTCATCAGGTTGTTTTTCATTCAAATCCGCTTCTCGTTCATCTAATAGATATGATAATTGATTTTCCATCTTGCTCTTCTTGTGCTTTGCTTTTCTTTTTGACTTGACCTCATGATCCTCGTTCAACATTACTACATGGTCATTTTGCATGTTGACCTCTTCTTGGTTTATGTTTTCTTGAAGATTCGTATTTGTATCATCCAACGTGATGACAATTTGCTGATTCGAACTGTCGATACCTTCTTTTGGCACTTTGTTTTTCTTTTTCGACTGATGCATCTCTTTGTCCATCGATGAGTAGTTATCCTTAAAGGTCAAAATCAAATTATTTGCTATGATGAAAACAATAAATAATAGGTGAGGCCAAAGTTTTTGATTTATTTTTCTTCTTCTCTAACAGAAATAATAATGAATAAATAAAGCAATGCAGCTGATTTAAAACCATGTCGATCTATTTCTTTGATTATTTTCATTGAACTTACAATAAAACTGTACAAACACCGGCAATGCAGATGTTTCTTGTCAATTCATTCACAAATGACTTCTGTGACACGGAAAGTCGAAGAACTACAAAAGTCACTCATGATTATTTGTTTCCAACGTTTGAGATAAGGAATGATAAATAACGTTCGCATTCATTCTAGTTTTCCGTTTTATAGACGTCGTTGCGAGTAATTTGAGAAGAAATGCATAAGATGCCGAAAACGGAAAATTAAGGCAGATTTTTTTTAAATATAGTTAAATAGAGTATGACAAGCTGATGAAGAATAATGATGTTTTAATTTTTTTGGAATGAGTTTTTACGGGAATAATTCCAGTTTCTTCTGATTACTCACTTTTTCTAACAAATTGTCAATTTTGTTCTCTGCTTCAAATTTTAAAACTGTTTGTTTCATATTCAGCGTAAAAAACTGAATCTATAAAAGTCATTTATAAATGACTTTTCTAGATTCGATTTTTTACACAACATCTGAAACAAACAGTTTTGAAATGTAATGCAAACAAAAACATTGACCTATTTCTGCAAAAAAAAAAGTACGTCATCGGAAAAATAATGAAACTTCTCCGCTTAAGACTTAATCCAAAAGAATAAAAACAGTTATATTCATGATCAGCTCGTCCGCTCTATCTAACTATATATCAAATAAAGAGAAAACAGTTCTACATTAATTTTGCGTTTCTAGCACCTTGCATTAGTTGTATTCTTATTATTTCATTGTAATTTCACTGATTTCAAACCAGCCACATTACTTCATTTATACTTTGTCAAATCTTGGCTCATAACTGCACTGAATAAGTATGAACTCAAATATATGAATCAATAGCCGATTCAAAGCTCTATAAATCTATTGACAATATCTTTTTAGAAAGCTTAACTTTAACTTTGTGATAATAGTAAAATATTTTACAATGCCAAAATCAATCAAAATCAAATATTTCTCGATTATAATTTTGATCATCTCGACAACTATTTACAAATGGGCAGTAACATGTGTCATATCATAAAATCTTAACATATAACCTTACAGAAAATTGTATAAGTATAGTATTGCACATGGTGACAATATAAATGAGTGAGCATTATCCGTCCATTATTATTTATTTATATTTAATTAACGTTCTTCTTTCCTCTTTCTTTAGTCTTTTTTTCATATACAAAATTTTAAAAAACAAGATTATTCTGAATTTTTCTTTTTGTGTTTATTGTATAAATTGTGTTTTTACTGAATATTCTATGCATTGGCTTCACTTCGTCAGATTCAACAAGTATATCCTATCTAACTGACAAGAAAATGATTCCTTCTAAATCAGTGTGTTATTCAGTGTGAAAAAACATGTTTGCAGAAACAATAGCTAGACGAATACTGAATCTGTGCGCACTAGACATTACTTTTTAACGATCAATAGTCAAAACATGCTTTATGTTTCACATCCTATCGTTTTTTTTTAATTATATTTGCAGATTCTGTTTAGTCTTTTTTGTATGATTTTATCAATAGTTTATATATGATGATAAGAAAATATACTTACTACCTGAATCATGTTGAAATATAAGAGTGTTGCCTTCTTATCAATCTCAATTGGTTTTAATACGATTATGTCGTTAACGAAATACTCAGTTTTTTTTTCTTATGTTGACTTTCTTATTGTTATCAATGAAGCGTGACATCTTTACAAGGTAGTCAATATTTTGAGCAAGCATACAAGTATAACAGTAAGCGTATTATTTTCGCTTTTTTTTTTTTGTTCTTCGTATTTTTTCTTTCTTTCGTTTGTTTTTATTTTCATAATAGACAAACTATGTGTTGATATTACTAGATTCAAGCGCATGATAATCGATTCTCAACAGAACATTGATC